AAAATTGAACAAGGACACAATCGCGTTGGCTTTAAATAGGAGCTTCGATCCCATTCGTATTCTTCACGTCACCCCGAGCGGCTTCAAGGTCTCCAAGCTGGCGGGCAGTGCGGAAATATATCCCAACACGGGCTTAACCGCTGAAAATCGTCGAACTGTCAGAGCACTTCTCCCCGTGGACATGCGGTCTATTGTCGGTGGGGCGGGAAATGCATTACTCAGTTCTTGGGATGATGGCACTATACGACTTCAAGACCTGCGAACTCCGTCGGCAGTGGGCCGCATCTACCAGGACAACCTTGATGTCAGTGTTCCTATCAACGCGCTGGTCTCATATGGTCTCGAGCGCTTCGTTGCGGGCAGCGCCCATGCGCCCGTCTTGAAAATCTTCGACTTCCGCTGGACCAGGGGATACTACCATACAGATTCTTTGCCGTGTAGTGATAGCACTCCTTATCCTACGCCTAGGTCTCCCACGATTGTCGATGAACCTGGATACTCTGATAACCAATTGCCATGCAATCATGTCATGGGCAGATTCTGTCGGTGGCACTCACTATCACGCCACGATTACTATCGACCGAACTGCAACATCTTCATACCATCGAACGATGCCCAAGCCTCGCCGGTGTATTCAATGGCGAAGCCATCGGATGTCTCCTCTACCCTTTACGTAGGCATTTCGTGGTCGCTTGTCGAATTTACGTTGAAAAGCAGCATGACAGGTCCTCCTAGACTCAGCAACCGGCCCCCCTACGCCCGGCAGAGAGTTGGAATGGCAATGGTAGAAACGGGGGATGGCTCAGCAATCTCCGACTTTGGCAAATGCGTACGTGTGCCAGAGATTCGCCGACAGTCCATCTATGGACATGACAGACATGACAGACATGACAGTACGATAGTGACGAGGCAGAATCGACTCGACGAGGCGCTGCAGTAGAATGGTCCAGAAAACAACATCTAGCTCGGCGTATTGGAACCGTCGTGAATTCCAAGTGTTTTTTTTTTCGATTCAGCTCTCCCCATACAGCTTAGATTGGCAGTGGATATTTTCTCCTTTGCAGGTGAATGGATACAGACTACAGTACACTCCCCTAGAGCAAATATCATTTCATATATCGCATCGCGACGCGAGACTTTCAGACCGACGGCAAATAGACAGCATCCACAACAGATTTAGCGAGACTTGTCACGTTAGAATGGATTCGGTCACTCTCATTTCACGTTGACACGCTTTGTGGGCATGAATGTCCATATTTAGAGCACTGAAGCAAGCTCCGGTGCTTTCCACCAAAGAGTGACTACCTAACCTATCCCGGCCCGGCAGCTACATCATCAATCATCATCGTCATCGTCATCGTCACCGCCATCTTCATCGTCTCCCAGCCCCGATATCGAATACGATAGCCTAGACTTCACTGATGTCCACTTCACCGCTTCAGACCACCGCTCCCTACTCAGCCGCGATGCTGACTTTTACTTCTTCTGGGTGTTGCTGGCCCAGACGGGGGTGCCCTTGTACATGACGACGTTGCCGTCGTTCTGGACAGCGATGATGCAGGTGCTGCCCGCCTGGGAGGTAGCGGTGTTGGTGTGCCAAGTGGCAGTGCCCTTGGTGTCGCTATACAAGATGGTCATCAGCAAAGGTTCAGACGCCGAGGCCGAAAGGGAGAGAGAGCGAGAGAGAGAGAGAGAGAGAGAGAGAGAGAGGATTGACATACTACATGCAAAAGTTGCCGTCTTCCTGCATTATGACGCCCTTTCGGTCGTAGAACTGGTCGGCGGTGTTCTGCCACTGGCATTTGCCGCCCCAGTAGACAGCAATCTTGCCGTCTTGCTGCATCTTGAACTCGACGGAGCCATCGGTGCTGAAGAGGCTCTGGCCGGGGACTAGCCACTCGCCGTTGCCTAGAGTGCTGTGGGATCCGCTTGGCGACATGTTGAGTGATGGAAAAGGTGTTGCTGGTTGGAACTTGCTTGGGAGTTGGTCAATTGGAGACTATGTATTGAGTGCTTGGGGATGGAGGGAAGAGACGAACGGGATGGATGGAGTGGCGGGAAGGACTCTTTTTATATTCCTATCGAGTCTATTCTGTAGGCCGTCTTGACAGAGGACCATGCCACATACTCTCTCCATACTCTCTCTCTCTCTCTCCACCCTTCTGTCTCCCGTGGCCACCATCTCTGGTTTCCCTCTTGTCTTTTCCCTTGTCCTTGCCCTTTGCTTTTTTCCTCCTTTGCCGCCTTTACCCGAGACCACTCGCCCAAGTTCTGCTACTCCGATCTCGATGGCTGCCCAACAACGCACGTCGACGCAATGGCATGGCGAATATGATGAAGCAAGGTATCATCGTCGATATGATTCCCCACAAGAGCCAGCATTCTCAATAGTACCATGCGTCCGTATCAAGCCGTGCATGAAACCGGGGCGCCTGAGGCGGCCAGTGGATACCTCCCTCCATGAGAGTTGGCGTGTCGACAGCATTCTGGCGGCTGCCGCGATATTCCAGCCATTTACTCCTCCTGGACTGGAGTACCGTGGTACCATTTAAAGTGATAGCCCGGCACCGACAAGCCCGATTGTAGCGGGACGAGAGTGGAGAAGGTTTGCCGATGTGCCTCTGCATAGAGTCGTGGGCCTAGTTCGATGTGAGTTCGATGTGTGTGGGTGTGGCATGATATTGTTGACCGACCTAGACGACGTCGAGCCCCTGACGCACTATAGCATGCAGCAGACTACAACAGTCGTTATGTTCTCCCCAGTGTCTGATTTTGCCCTCATACGGGTCATACGGGTCATATGAAGTGAATCTATGACTATGAGTGTCATTGCCAGATCGAGACTTTGATCAGCGGAAAGTGGCAATGGGAACTATGATCGGATTCTGTCAAACAGAGATCGCCGGTCTCGACAGGATCACACCGGAGGTCGGAAAATACCGTGACCTACGAAGTTGGACGATACTTGGCATGGCCGTCGGTATTGCCATACCCCTCTCTCGCGCGCCGCCTTCCCCCCTCATCAGATAACTGACAATGTAACGAACGTCCTGCCACCATTGCGTCTCGTCCGGGAGAGCTCCTCAATGCGGAGGGCCACGTCGCCACATGTCGCACTGCTTAGATGAGGATATTGGACACGTCCTTCACGAATCACCCGGCCTGGATATCCCCTCCCTACTCGTAACAAGCGTCGAGTGGAATCAACTACAGACTTACTCCATAAACGCCACCGTTATGCGAACCACCGAATCTGGACGACGGGTAGCTGGAGGCCCATGACTGCCGTGCCGTGATCCCATGCGTTGTGGAGCAAAGCTGGACACACGGCAGCATTGACTCCCCGTGCTTGGACTCGACTGTGACTGTATATCCCCTAACTATCAAACAACATAACATAACAACATGGCAACATGACGACAACATCACGGCCCACAGTCCAGACTTCAGTATCGATGAACTATTAGCTTGCATGATTGTTCCGAGTAATAGGCAAAAGCTCAAGCGGGATGTATCCAGGGCTTTGAATAGCGTCTGGACGTGACGATGGACGTCTCGGACGAGTGAATTCAAGCTATCTAGCAGTTCGGATGGGTCATGATCCCGGAACCCTTGTCGCCGTCCAGGGTCTCCATCTGGCCCGGTCGCTCGCTCCAAGACTCAGCTTGCTGCGAGAGTCAACCTGCAAGAGTCAACCTGCAAGAGTCAACCTGCAAGAGCCAACTCGCGGCCGTCGTTGGCAATTTACTATGTACTCGAACTAGACCCGTACCATCTAATCAATTCGTACCATCATATTAACGGTGTTTGCAACTTGCAAGGTATCGCCAAGTGATTGATGTCCGCCAATCCACAAGCTGGTCGACGACTTACCGAGCGGCACCCGCTCAAAGAAATTAAACTAACCTAGGTATTTATATTATACAGTAGGTAGGCCGGTTCCAGATTCTCCTCCGGCTCCACGGCTGCAGGGCTCCAGGCTCCAGGGCCCCAAGACTCTCCAATCGGCCACTTTTACTCAAACACGAACTCCATGTTTTCCGTTGAACCCAGGATTCTCCCTCTTATGGGTGACGTATTGGACTGAATGGAGACTGATGCCGCTGATGCCGCTGCCACTTCTCCCCAGCAGTTATGCCGAATGCTTGCCATGTCCAATGCTTGCCATGCTATACCCTTGGAGCACGGAGAACACCTCCACCAACCCCACGCCATCGGCGGCTAAGACGCCAAGTTTATCGATGCAACGCCATGTATTTATTAGCTTTCATTCTGGACGCAGCGATCAGCAAGGCAAGGTATGTATATATTTTAGTATTTTAGTATTTTGGAGTATTTTGGAGTATTTTATATCGTAAATCTACCCTGCTTCGGCATCCATCACCGGAGGGAATGTCTCAACAAGGTCTAGGCCAACTCACATCGTCCGTCTCGAGACTCAACCATACTCCGAGCGAGTCCATCAAACTCCATGATTGTCTTTCCCTAGGTTAGTTCTTTGCCGAGCCTGTCTGGTGGGAGCTGAAATGTACGTATTCAGGATGCCATTCCTGGGAATATGTCGCGATGATTGGGGCTTTGATCATGTACGCTCTGCATTGCCTACAGTCCCGGTACGTTAGCTTAGTGCCCGGGTTCCATACCATGATGCCTCTCCTTCAACTCTACCTACCAGTACATTCACATGGAGGAGGTGGTGGTAGTGATGGTGGTGGTGGTGGTGGTTCGTGACAATCAGATGACATGACCTTACACAGCCGCCAGATTCGCAGATATTCCTCCGATCCAATACTCAACGAATGATTCCGCAGATCAATACAACAAGATGCCCGAAAATAGAATTCCCAAATACATACAGAGTCTGTACATTGCGTTGTAAATTAGATCTCTGACACAATGATCAACCCCAAGTCACTGAACTCATGCTACTACCTACCTCATCTACCTATCCCCTCTCGATCCCCCGTCTCGTTCAATCAATATCGACAAAAAACCCAAAGGGACCCGTAGCTCAGCGGTAGAGCATCTGATTCCAGTTAGTTAGTTCCTTCATTCTCGCTGGCATCGCAGAAAATAGTATCCAGAAGGTCATCCGTTCAAATCGGGTCGGGTTCAATTCCTGCGCACTCATCGTGCAACTTGTTCTTTTTGCCATTCGTTTTCCTTAACATTAACCAACGACCAACGATTACAACATCTGTTGTGCCTCAACTGTTAGGTATCTAGGTATTCACGTTTTATTGCTCAACATGATAATACCTACTATCTACCTATGCAATGGCTGTGTGCACGAGTCAGGGCGGCTGCTCTGCTCTCGGTAATATCGATAGTGTCGATAAGTAGATATTAGTTAATACCGTATCTACATCTTTATCCGACATGAACATCACCATCCATCAGTCCCGTGCTATCATCCATCTCCAGGTGACCGACCCCTCAAAAGAGAACCCTCACTCAAATCCAAATCCACCATCATCTCGCATATCTCAAGAACCAACAACAAAAACCCCGCCGTGCAGGGTTCACATCCCGTCTCCCGCTGCATAAGTGGCTTTTTAAAAAACACCCGCAGGAGCTGAAAGTCGACTTGGCACTCATTGAAACAAATCTCCATCAATCAGACAACAAGTCCCGGAACATCCAGCATATCGTCAGCATTATCGTCAGGTGCGCGGATTTTTTTTTTTTTTTTCTTTCTTTTTTCTTCGTCCATCAAATTCCCACAACGTTGCCACCGACTAGATATTAACACCTATCTAGACTACCAAGAGCCAAGAACATAGCAGACAGCACCCTAACCATAGATGTAGAACGGGATCTCCTTACCGCCCCTCCCAGCCGTGACTCCCGCGCCCATATTCAGCTAAGATCCCATATCAATCGCAAAGCCCCCTCGGCTCCGGCACCTTCACTCCGATGGATTATCATGGCCCAAGTTGCCCATCAGATGATCTACCTACCGGTATACCTACCTCGCTCAGACCTGAGAGCCCTAGTAAAGCCAACTCTCACAGTGGAGCCAGATCGAGAGCATGGATCTCTAGAGCCACAATGCAAAATCATCGCAGCTGGACCGACAATCCCCTTGCCGCCCGTCCCAACCCAACCCCAACCCCAACCCAACCAGCCGTCACTCCCGTGCTAAGCGCCAGGGCGCCGACATTTCCATCCAACGCAGGGGGACATGACCCTTGTCCTAATGTCTACGCTCAAAAGTTCTACGCTCAAAAATGTCCACGTCCCATCTTCCATCTTCCAACATCATACATCTAGATACATGTATACTTGACTTCACATTTCACTCACATCCATCCCTTGACATCTTTTGTTTAAAAGACTTTCATTTCTCTAAACTCTAAACTCATACGCCTCCGCCTCCGCCTCCACCTCCACGGCCGAACCGTGACATCCCTTTCCACTCATCCACCACCTGATAAGCGTTTACCATGTTACCATAAACCCATCATGGTCTAATCACCACCAACCGCCATCTATATTTCTAACAATGTAAACCCCCTCCACGCCAGACTTTTCTGTTTCGGCGCAATGATGAAGGAGAGAAGAACATATCCCTCCCTCATCATCGACTTATTAATCCATTAAATAACATAAATAACCATGGGTGCGTCCGTTCATTATGCCTCTATCCACCTCCCCTCTCTCTCTCCGGATATCCCCCGTCCACATGACGAGAGATCACCGTCTATTCCAGTTCAAGAACCGACTCTGTCAAGAGAAAACAAAACGTTAGCACCCACGAATCCATGCCAGAGAAGAAGAACACAAGCCCCTCCAAACAGAGATAAAAAAAGAGACTTAAGAGACTTACCGCAGCCAATATGATAACCATATTGCTCACCACAAAAGCAATATAAATCCCCAAATCTCTCCATCTCGTATCAAAACTATACTGGAACGTCTCATAGAATTGATCGCCTATCGAATAAGCGCAGTACTCGCAGCTGCTCGTGTCGTTATTGACCAAGTAGCCCGAGCCACCCGCAGCGAAGAAATTCTCCACGTACGAGCCGCACGTCTGTCCAGGGGGCGCCGTAAACACATTCAGCTCGTGCGGCTTGCACTTGACCGCGAGTCCATGCAGAGCCGTGGTGATAGTGCCGCTGATGAGACGCGTGAAGGGGTCCAACTGGTACAGCCAAGCCTTCCAGAAATGCGGCATCTGAGGGTAAGGAATCGTAACGCCGCAGAACAGAGCAAAAGTAATGACGATGAAGGGATCGAACTGACTAGCTACAAACGCCGAGGGAGAAATGGCGGCGAGCACCTGGCCAAGCGACACGGCAAAGAGCTCCGTCAGCAAGATCATAAAGTACTGGTATCCGGCACGCGAGGACTCGTTCTGGAAGCCCGGGATGTAGTAGAGCGGAACGTAGAACAGCACGGAGCAGAGTATCGAGTAGGGCAGTTCGGCGATGATCATGCTGAGACCAAAGGTAAAGGTGCTGTACATCTTGCTCAGCTGCTCCCGGAAGAAGATGGCGCGCTTGATGACGAACATGAGCTCAACCTGCGGTAGCAGCAGACCGGGGAGGACGGTGATCTGGAACATGACGAAAACCTTGTACTGCAGCGAAGAACGGGAGTCGTCGAGCTGGAGGTATGTGAGACCGGTCAACAAGGAGATGGCGACGTGATTGAATACGCGAGTAAAGAGATAGTTGGGCGACCGCCAGTAAGAGAGGTTAATCCGTTTGACCACCACCTTGATCTGATGCCAGAGAGGCGACGCATATTCCTTCTGCAAACTGAGATCCACTTCCGCCGCTGCCTTCTTACCCGACTCCTTGAACTGAGCGATCGTGTCCTTGACATTGGCCAGCTCCGGGCTTTCGGCCCAGATATCAGCCCAGTCTCGCGTGCCGATTCGCGGGGCGCTGCCGGCGCCTATCGCGTCTAGCATGAACTCGGCGATATTCTCCGAAGGCCCGGCAACGGCGCCGTGGCGAGCCATATACGCACGAAGCGTAGCGGCATCTTCACCGAGATCACCAAAGTAAACACAGCGACCACCACGCTGGAGGAGAAGCAGCCGGTCGAAGTTCTCAAAGAGAGCGGCGTTGGGCTGATGAATCGTGCAGAGAATGGCCTGGCCTGCAGCAGCCAACTTCTTAAGGAATCGAACAATGTTGAAGGCACTTTGGCTGTCGAGGCCAGACGTCGGCTCATCGAGGAAGAGGAGTAGCTGCGGCTTGGCAGCAAGTTCGACACCGATGGTGACCCGCTTGCGCTGCTCGACCGTGAGGCCAGCTTCGGGCGTGCCAATGATGCAGTCGGCGATATGCTCCATCTCCAACAAGGCGATGATTTCCTCAACGTATGCGTACTTCTCCGACCGGGGCGTACTGAAAGGCTGTCGCAAGTCGGCGGAGAATCGCAGGGCCTCACGCACAGTTTGAGTAGGGTCGTGCATGTCCAGTTGTTCGGCGTAAGAGGTCGATCGTTGGAATTCCTTGCCTGGCTTAGATCCGTCCACCAAAACATCACCGTGGATCACACCAATGTTCTTTCTCGAAGCCAACACGTCCAATAGAGTCGTCTTTCCAGCACCCGAAGCCCCCATGAGCGCAGTGAGCTCACCCGGCTTACAATATCCATACACGTTGTTCAGGAGCCGTCGGGTGCCGCCAGGGACGGGTACATCGTAGTTCAGATCCTCCCACGTCAAGACGCTGGTCGATTCGATCTTCAGAGAGGTGTCTTGGTCATCGGTCCTCGACTTCTGCCGCGCCAGTTTCTTTTGGTCCAGGGCTTCGTTCAGCGCCGTGGTCTCTGCATTCGGTCGGGCGAAAACCTTGGCTTGGTTGCCTCCCATTCCATACTTGACAAACTCGCCCAGCACCACGTTCATGATGAGGAAGAAAATGATAATGCCAGCGATGATACCAAAGTTTCGCCAGAGATCCTTGGGGGCGTAGGTGAAGCCTTGCGTGATGTAGTCGGCGCCCTTCACGGCAAGACTGCCGGGTTTGGAGCCAGCTAGGGTGCACACTTGGTGTTGAATATCATCGTAACCCGGTCCCGAGGGAATGAGGGATTCAGCGGAACAAGTCAGCTCGGAATGGCCAAACTCGTTCGCCATCAAACTCGCAAACGTCAGGCCGAGGGCGTTGATCCAGAATATCCACCGCAGCCAAACTTGCTGGGATTGATATTGAATCAGATACCCCGATGTCAAGACGAACAAGGTGACTGTCACTACAGCAAACTTGATGGCATAGTCGAAATCAGGACTCAGGCAACCGATAATACGGAAGTAGAGAGTCATGGCGATGTTTCCGACGAGAATCAAGAGGAAGAACGTGAAGAACTGGCCCGCTGTCCTGGAGAGATTGGTCAGGAAGTAGACGATAAGGGAGAAGGCCAGAATTTGCAGAGATGAGAATGCCGTGTCCACGAATATCTGTGCGATCCACAGCGCCGAAGGTCGATGGAACGCATAGGCTTTGTGCTTATTGACGATAGGCCGACCAGTCATGGTAGAACCGAGTTCGGAGAAGGCCTGGAAAGCGTTGAACAAGAGGGAAATGAACAAAAGGCCACCTTTGCTGAAAGCACTCGCAGAGGTTTGTTGAAGGTTGAGATACAGAGTTCCTAGGACGATGGCGACGATGACGATACGGAACCAAGACAGGAAGAGACCGAGCTTGTCTTGGAGCTTCAGGACGAACTGGCGCTTCATCAACGCCCAGACTTGCTGATGGAATCCAACGCTGTAAACAGATCGCTTTGCACCGCGGCGCTTGCTTTCGAGGACGGCAGCGCGGAAGTCTTCATGTTTTCCCGTTTCCGTGTCCAGGCGGACCTTGTATTCAGCCATCTCAGTTTCTAACCGGCGAGCATACGATGACTTTTCAAAGGCGTCCTTGAGCGTTTCGGGGCTATGCGGCGCATTCGCTGGCGAGCGTCCGTCCGAGTATTCACGTTCGAACTCGTCAGTACAGCCAGTTACATAGTCGGGGGTCGTTTGGCGTGGGCGCGACCGGAAACCGAGGCTCTCGAAATAACCTCTCGCCTCGTTGGTAGGCCCGAAGTAAACCTGTTTGCCCGAGTCAATCACTAGGACTTTATCGAACTGCTTGTAAATGTTCTCCGAG